CAGCCACTCCTCGGAAGGAAGGTTGGGCAATCCTACTTCCGTAGTGATACTGCCTCGGAAACCCAAGGAGGGGTCGCTATGAGTCAGGGCTGACTCGACAGCACATAACAACAACAACAACAACAATCTCAAACTTAGAGAAATCCCTAACCTCGCTGTTGGAGGTTGTGTTGCAAAACAGCCGAGGGTTAGATCTCTTACTTCTCCAAAAGGGGGGGCTGTGCGTAGTGCTGAAAGAATGCTGCTTCTATGCCGACCACACGGGCATGGTCCGGGAGTCCATGGCCAAGGTACGAGAAGGACTTGCCCTAAGAAAATGGGAACGTGAAGCTCAGGAAGGATGGTTCGAGTCTTGGTTTAATAGCTCCCCGTGGTTAACTACTTTAATATCTACTCTCTTAGGGCCCTTCATAGTCCTTATAATCATATTAACTTTTGGTCCCTGCATTATAAATAAGCTTATATCTTTTGTAAAAGATCAGGTTAATACTGTACAACTTATGGTTCTGAGGCAGCAATATCAGCCTTTACCTCCTGCAATACAACAGGATGATTCCTCATGTATATAACAAGAAAAGGGGGAAATGTGAGTCAATCTGAAGCCAGAGTTCTAGTAGCCTCCAGGAAAATCTTTAACCAGAAACCTTTTAGTGTCAGCAATACTAACAGGACTTTTGGAATTCTAAACACTCCTTAGGGCCTTTATCTTCCCTCCAGTCTCAGCAGGTATCAAGGAACTTCCTCTGAACTCAGCATGCATCACAAAAGCCATCTGGATTCAGCATGTATCAGAGATTTGTTGGGCTCCTGAAAGTCTCCCACATACCTGAGCCTCGCATCCTCCTTAGATAATATTTTCCTAAGTGAACTTTGGAGCTGGGGGGGTTTCTTTACATCCCCCAACATCTTAGATCACTGCCCTAAATCCCTTAGAAACAACCAACCATCTGTACCCTCTTGCCCTGGTGCTGCCCCTCCGCATATTATTCCATAAATTTGTGAGAATACCGGGGCACGGGGTCTTTTGCTCAAGCCACTGATCTGGTAAGGGCAAAGACCCTAACTTAAGTTAGCTAATAAACCCTCCTATTGCTTTTGCATTGTCGTGTGTTGGCATATTTCTCTCGCCGAGGAACTCCTTCATAACCTGGGCACAACAGGCCATGGACATCTTTGGGAGCCTTTATTAAGCTTATCAAGGAATACTTTTGACCCTCAGTTCTTGTCAAGATATGACCTAATGAATGAGTGAATAAATGAATGAGGATCTTGTAGTGAGTCAACAGATATTTATTAAGTGTCCTTTATGTGTTGGGTGATATTTTAGACTATCTTCAGAAAAGATCCAGGAAATTAGTACTTATTATAAGAATGTGACCCTGTTTGGTCTTAAACCAAATTCTCTGTCATATTAAAATAGCAGCCAGTTAATTAATCTCTTATCATTAACAATCCAGAGAAGAGAAGAAAGCCTGTTTTCATCATTCTACCAACTAATAAATTATCTGGTAATAATAAAGGAAGATAGAACAACACAAATACAGCCCCACGTGAACCACCGATTCTGACCAGAGCAGTCTTTTGGTGGTGGTGTGAGAGAGGATTTGAAAGTGCTGTCAGGAGAGGACCTTCTGGGTGAAGACCTCACCTGCCTTTCCCAGGTAAGAGGTAATCTTCTGGATTCAGTTGTCATACTTTCATAAGTCTCAGGCTGTGGGCTGGGCTCAGATATTTGGGTTCCAGCAATGGCATGGCTGAACTCTGACCCCATATGAGCTCTTGCTCCAGCTGAATTGTTCCTGGCTTGGTTTTGGACAAACAAGTCACCGATGGGGGGAGGCAAGAAACTCCCAGTGAATAGTGGAGATTTGGGTGGCTCTGTCACAAAGCTTTGTGAGCCCTGTTTACAGAAGCCCAGAATGCATGCCTCACAGTTGTCTGTATCATGGGACATTTTCAGAGGCACTTCTGTGGCCACTGGAATCTCTGGAACCATCCTGATGCCTTCTCTATAGAATCTTTCCAGAATACGCTGTACCAAATTGTTCAGAATCATCCTAGTGCTCTAGAAGAGAACTCAGGCTTCTCAAATTGGGACTGGTAACATTTCTTACACCTCTGAGCAAAGATCCGCATTAGCACCTGTCCCTGGGACATCCAATGTTCCCAGTGCATGTGGCAGAGGACCTGTACTTTGGCAGAAGCCCATCTTCGCTGACATGAAGAACACTGGAACCTATAGACAGAAGGAAGAAACCATTATATGCAATCTCGATTGTTGACCAGAAGGAAAATGGGCCTGGCCTCCATCTCTAAAATCCCTGTGAATTTGAAAAAGTTCGTGATTCTGTTGCTTGGAATGGTCTAATAATGACAAACAAGAGTGAAAAGGATTGTGTTTCTGATAAAGCTTTTTCCTGTGACCTGCTGAGCTTCTACACATAAGTAATCATCAAGTGTGCCTCTTTGCCAATAAAAATCTCTGCTTGCCTCAGAGGGAAGACTATCCACTATATGCCAGTGAAATTTGTTCCTCATAATAATCACAGCAAACTCTCATAAAGTATCTCCTGTGAGGCAGATACTGTAATTAATATTTTGTAATGTTATTCTGTTTTCTCTTTAAAGTAAACCTATGCTTACAATATAAACCTTGAATAATTTTCCTTTTATTAATTGAGGCTTAGAGAAGATCTTCTGATGCTACTGAGCCCAATGTCCAGATAAAGAAACTGAATCATACAGGGATTAAAACATTGCTTAAAGCCAAAGTGGTGGAGGCAGTTTCTAATATAAAGCCTTTTGACACCAACCTTGCTTATCTACTCTACAACATCACCTCTTATGAGCAGCATGACTAGTTTTGCACCTAGAGGAAAAGACTAGGACCTGAAGGCATAATACTTGGTTGGAGACTCAAATTTATAGTGTGCATCAAGGGACCTTCTCTAAGCCTAAATTCATAAAAGGAAAACTATTTTAGAGCTATATTGTCAGTATTAAATAAGAAATATGAAAATGTTTTGTAAACTACAAAATGCTTTTCAAAAGATGGTTGATATTGGGGAAGGAGACAACATGGCATCTTAGTGACACATTCCACCCCATCCCTCTAAACAGAGGCCAAAAAAAAAAAAAAAAAAATGAAACAGATACAGATGATAGTTCTGGAATTCTGAGCATCAAATAAGGAGATAATTAATTGGATTAAAGACCAATTAGAAAGGGAGGCAGAACAAAAACAGTAAGGAGAGAGAGCAGAGACCTGATGCAGTGTTGCCATTTTATGACACAGAAGGCAGCATATATAGGTGAGGAGAAGCCAATTTCATGGGATCCCCACTGACACAGAAGCACAGTATGAACAGATCTGGAGTGAAACAAAGTGGGCAGAATATGAACTGGATCTGGGAGAAGAAAGTGCAGGGAAACAGACTAAGAATTCTGGTGGCACAGGGATCCACAGAGCAAGGAGGAAGTCATAAATGGGGATGAAATAACTCACTGGTAGTGAGCCTTAGTCATTTGAGTTGAGGGCACATTGAGATGGGAAGGACTATGGATGGTGATTGGAGATACTGGATTTCAGGTGGCAAGCCCCTTGATTTAGTCCAGCCAGGAACTGGATTTTCTGGTTACCTAGTGCTGCTTTAAAAAAATATACCACAAGTGGGATGACTTGAACAAACAAGAGTGTATTCTCTTAGTTCTCTCTTAGTTCTGAGGCTTTAAGTCCAAGTTCAAAGTTCCAGGCTCTAGGAACTGTGTGAAAGCCCCTCAACTTTGGCTTCAGCTCTGCCTCTTGCTCCTAGCCCACTGAAGCTAGAGGCATCTCTTCACTCAGCCAGCTACTGGCTGCTGAGGCTAACAAGCCCAAGGTTGACAAATAAAATGACATGGTCCTGATGTTATCAAACCATATGGCAGGCCATTAATTTAAGTCCATTGAAAGTCCCAAGGTCAGCAGAACATGGCAGGATGCTGAACAATGGCATAGCTACATGCAGGGTTTAAGCATGCCATAAGCTGGAGACCATTCCCAAAGCTGTTTCTTACATACAGGAAGCAGACCACATACCCAAACGCAGCTACTCAGCTGCTCATAGTAGATTCCACCATGGAGCTGATTACCAGTCTCATGATGGGGAATACTACATCCAGCTGCCCAGCCACTCAACCAGGCCTAGCCAAGTTGACACACAGACTTAACCACCACACTGGATAATCAGCTGTGCTTGCCAAGAAGTGCAGCAGGCCCACACTGGTGAATAGCTACCAGAGACATGCATTCTCCCATTTTCCCCACCACACTTTCCCAGTGACCAGGGGTGAGATCTCTCCACCCCCACTAATCCAGTGGCTAGGGACACCCCTGCCACCTTCCACCCACCCAATTTACTCAGACTGCCTCACCCAACCAGGAGCTACCTCCCACACTGTGTCTCCAGCAGACCAAGCCACACACCTACAAATCACATTCTGCACACCCAGTGCTGAGATCTGTGGGTGGCCTCTGCTGTTGGAGATGAGCACAGACACTGACCACACTCTAAGCTTCTGCAGCATCCATGAGCATCACTCCCACAAATCTTGCAACAGCCCCTTCCACCACTGAGGCCAGTGTCATGAGTCCCAGCAGATAGGGCTATGTGACCTCTGGCTTAGAAGTATGGGCACATGACCCATTTTTTTCTCTTTTATTTTTTCCACTTCTTTTTTACCCATTATTTTCTTCTCCTCTTTTTTTTTTCCCCCCCTCTCCCTCTTCCATATCCTATGGTAGGAAGATATTGCCCTTACTTGTCAGCCATACCTACCACACCTACCAACTACCACTCCACCCAGTGGGTGAGTACCTCCACCAGGTCCTGCACCACTAGAACAGTGACAGACAATGGATACACCTGATCAGCCTGCCTACAGCTGCTCTTTACAACCAGCAAAAGGAGACCTGTGAGCACACTACCACTAGTTATTTCACCCACCTGGAGAGAGGTGGGGGATGCCTCAGTGCTGCCAAACTAGTGATCAAAGTATTATGTCTACCCCACCCACCAGGTATATCAAAACAAAGCAGAACAAAAAAGTAGGTGAAAAACAACAATGAATAAATACAAGAACTCCAAAACATCTTCCAGATAACAGACAACTTCAAATTATGCAAAGAAACAGAGCAAAATGGTGCAAGCAAGTGACCCCAAAGGAAACTAGAAACAAATAAAACACAATACCCTAGAGGAACTCAGGAAAACAAGACAAGAGCAAAATGACTAAATAAATGAATAGAGCCAATTAGAAACCATAAAAAAACAATAATTGGAAATTCAGAAGATGAACACTAACATTTCAGAGATAGGGAACACATTGGAGGGAAGAAATAGTAGAATTTAGTCAATTGTAGAATGGATCAATGAATTAGAAGACAAATCCATTGACATCAATTTATATATGGAAAAATCCAAAAAAAAGAGTGAAAGAAAATGAAGAAAGCCTAAGAATTATGTGAGACATGCTCAAGAGGAAATATTTACATGTGATCGGAATTCCATAATGGGAGGAGGCAAAGTACATGTGCACACATGCATACATAACACACAGACATAAAGGGAAAGAGAGATATTATCAAAGATTTGTTACCAGAAAATTTTCCTAGTATCATGAAAGATGAAAAAATATCCTTCCAAGAAGCTCACTGACCCTATACACGATAGACTTGAAAAGAAATTCACCAAGACAAATCTTAATCAAACTTTCCAAAACCAAAAGCAAAGAAAGAATCTTGAGAGAAGCTCAGAAAAGATGTAATGTTACCTACAAAGAGGAACCAATAAGACTAAACTCTGATTTCTCAGCAGAAACCATGCAGGCAGACAAGAAGACAATGGGAAGACATCTATAAAACACTGAAAGAAAACAACTCCCAACCAAGAATTATACATCCACTAAAACCATCCCTCAAATATGATGGCAAAATTAGGACATTTACAGATAAACAAAAATTAAGAGAATTTGTAAAAACCAGACCAATATTACAAGAAATGCTAACAGGAGTCCTTCAGACAGAGAACAAACAATATCAGGCAACAACTTGAGATTAAGACACATGCAATGTCACCTGGAAACAAACCTAAAAAAAGAATTCTAAAAAATAAAATAAAATTGTAATAAATAAACTTACAAGACTGATGTTAGAGAACCAGAGGTGTCAAACTATAAATGACAACAACTACAAAGCAAAAAGAGAGAATAAATGGTATAATTACAAAACTTCCAAATGGAGAGGAAGTGAAGTTGATATCTAGATAGAACAGACTGTTTTAAACTTCAAAAATATCCAAACTCATTGTCATCAAGTTGATTCCAACTCATAGTGACTCCCATTGGGTTTCCAAGGCTGTAAACCTTTATCGTGTGCTTACTCACTGATCTGCACTGAACACGTTCCCTTGTTACCCTACCGAGAGGGACCAGGTCTTCGGGAGCAAGGTAAGCACGGGCGTAGCA